AATGTATTTTTATGATTTTTCAAACTGCTGTTTAATGTTACAAAGTAATTTTTGTAAGATTTTCTGTCTGCAATATATGTGATGACAAATGGCGGATATGATCAATATGAATTAAAATTTAATAAATAGAAATCCAATTTATTTATCTTTTTGGGAGAAAATGACAGAAAAATATCTATTAAATTTAAAAAAAAAACAAGTAAATCTTGTTGATTATTTTTGTAATGGTTTTGACTATACTTGTGATAGCTTTCAGTACTCAAAATCTATCAAAATCACATGTTTATTGTTTTGAAATTCAATAGGCATTTTTCTGTCATGTTCGCTATTTGTTTCTTGAAGGTCCTTAATATAAGAGTTAATTTGACTTTCAATTTTATTCTAAATATAAGATTGTAATTCATTTTATCTCTCATATTTATCTATTTTTTTCCAAGACACTCCTTGTGTTTTATCAAATGGTAGTTATAATTAATACACATGATTAGCGAAGATATTTTAAGAAAGGCAACACCTATTTATTACAGATAACTAACTTAACAGTTTTTTTAATTTATTAAAATTAGTTAACTAGTTTTTATATTAACAATTGATTAGAGATAGGAAGAGGTAGTATATTGTTAACCAGGAACCTACAGTGACCGAGCACAAGAAGGAAGAAATTTCCAAGTGATGGGCCTTATCTATTGAATAATCCTTATTTTGTGAAGAGCTCAATTTCATGAAAGTTACAAAAAATAGTGGTCTCCTCCACCTATTTTCCTCAATATCTATCAATGCAATTACTATCACGAAATTAGATGATGTTTGGAAAAAAATTAAATAGAACAAATTTATATGAAAAATAAGGATGATTTCATTTATACTTTTAAAAATATAGCAAAAAAATATAAATCATGCTGACATTATTAAAATTATTCCATCTTATTGCCATCTTTTTCGTGATGCCCTCTCTTTTTAGAGGATCATCATGCCAAAAACGACTTTAATAATATATCGTCTCCACCACGTAATATTTTTTTTCAAGTTTAAAACATACTTTGTTATGTGATGTAATAGTAGTCTTGATTATTGTTTTATGAGAAAACAAGTTTTGTGGAATATGGATCATAATCTTTGGAGTTATTTCTCTTAATTCCACATATACAGACATCCATATATACATATATATGCTTAGTGAAGGAGGCACTGATTAGTCAAAAGTTTGTTTGGACTATATAAAATGTGTACTTTTTTTCTATTGGCCAATAATAATCAAAGCACACACTACATAATTTTTATTTTTAAGGAAAATCTAGAAAAAAATTAATTTTAAAGGGAAAATAGCAAATAAAGATTCTCAATATGTGAAATTGGGATTTGGGACCTTTAATTTAAAAAATAGCAAATAAAGATTGAGTCTCATATTGCAAATATAAAATCATGGTGAAATATCTTAAATACCCTTAAGCCAAATGACAAGTTGACCATGAAAAATGATAAAGTTTACTTTAGCGAATAATAACTTCAGTAGACCAAATCACAACTTGGCTGAGAGTATGCCACATGACAAATTGACTATAAAAAATAACAAATTCACTTTAATTAATGACAATTTCAACAGATCAAATCACAAAGTGTGTTTGCTTCCTTTGAAAGATATCGCTAAACAGGGACCTACAGTGTCTGAGCACTAAGGAGGAAGAAATTTCGAAGTGCGGAGCACTATCACTCTCTGTTGAATATTCGTCATTTCATGAAGAGCTCTATTTTATTAGTTAAAGTCCCCCAATTTTCTATTGCTGTATCTATCAACGCAGTTAGGTGTTGGCATACAAATTAGATAGACATGAAAGGATATTAAATTAGATGAAAATAATGAATATTCCATTTTTCTACTTTTAAAAAATAGCAAAAAATGCAAGTCATGCTGGCATTATTAAAACTATGATGGCCAAAGATATATACAAAATTTCCAAACTTCTGTTCAAAGTAATGAAGTGATTTTTTAAAAAAAAATTCAGCTTATTAAAGTAATATTCAGTATATGCATGTAATGAAAATGGTGGATATAATATGAATTAAAAATTAAGAAATAAATTCCAAAATGTGTTCCCCCGGGGGCCGGGGGACGTACATTACCGAGCACAAAGCACGGAGAATTTTCAAGGTGCCGGGCTCTATCTAGAGGCACCATGCCCAATGTCTCCAAATCAAAAAAATCACAGAGACCTTTTCTGGGGTAAACAATTACATGCACTTTAATTTGGAAAACACGAAAAAAATACCGGTTAAATTTTAAAATGATAAATAAGTAATACTGAGTCAAAATCTGTCAAAACCATTTATTTATTATTTTAAAATGCAACAAGTATTTTTTTTTTGTTTATTTCTCCATTCCTTCGTGTATAATTTCTTCAATTCAAAAAGATTGAACACCAGTGATACTTGATGTAATTGAAATGAGGATAGGTCACGAAAATGAAAAATTACAAGAAGTTGGTGAGTTGAATTATTTCTCTCAATTCCACTAATAGTCTAATACAGTTAGTCGAACGTTTATTTGGACTATAAAAATATAGATGTGTACTTTTTGACCGTGGTCATTCCCGCTCCGTGGCGCGTGGGGTTTCGAATTTGGAATTAAAACAAAACCACAAAAGACTCTAAGCGATCAGAAAAAGGTATATAATGTATTTTTATGATTTTTCAAACTGCTGTTCAATGTTACAAAGTAATTTTTGTAAGATTTTTCGTGTGCATTATATATATATGTGATGACTAAGGATGAATGTAATCAATGTGAATTAAAATTTAATAAATAGAGATCCAAATTATTTTTTTAAGAAAATGACAGAAAAATACCTTTTAAATTTTAAAAAGATAAATAGATCTTGTTAACTATTTTTGTAATGGTTTTTGACTACTCAAAATCTATCAAATCAAAATCACCTGTTTATCATTTTGAAATTTAATAAATATTTTTTATCATTTTTATACTTTTTCTGAAATTTTTTAATATAAAAACTAGTTTGATTTTTAATTTTGTCATAAATATAATATTACAATTTATTTTATCTCTCATATTTATTTATTTTTTTAATATAATTTTTGTAATAGTTACATATATTAAAAATTTTAGCAAATGGTAGTTATAACTAATATATATGATTAAAAAATATTTTAAAAAATAATATCTATTTATTATGAATAAGTAACTTAATAAATTTTTGTGATTTGTTGCATCAAGACATACTAAGGACACGAGGAAGTAGTGTATTATCAGCTAGGAACCTACGGTGAGCGAGCCCAAGCAGGAAGAGGGATATTTCCAAGTGGTGGGCCCCATCAATTGAATAATCCTTACTTCATGAAGAGCTCAATTTTGTAAAAGTCACAAAAAGAAAAAAATGGTCTCCTCCATTCATTTTCCTCTGGATCTATCATGCAATTACCATCACGAAACTAGATGACGTTAAGAATAAAAATTAAATAGAATAAATTTATATGAAAAATAAGGATTATTTCATTTATACTTTAAAAATATAGCAAAAAAAATATAAATCATGCTGACATTATTAAAAATACTTCATCTCTTTGTCATCTTTTTGGTGATGCCCCCTCTTTTTAGACGATCACCATTCCAAACACAGCTTTAATAATATATCGACTCCACCAGGTAATATTTTTTTTCCAAGTTTCAAACACACTTTGTATATGTGATGTAACAGTAGTATTGATTATTATTTTATGAGAAAACGAGTTTTGTGGAATATGGATCATAATCTTTGGAGTTATTTCTCTTAATTCCACATATACAGACGCCCATATATATATATATATATATATATATATATGCGCTCAGTGAAGGATGCACTGATTAGTCAAAAGTTTGGTTGGACTATATATAATGTGTACTTTTTCCTATTGGCCAATAATAATCAAAGCACAATCCACATAATTTTGATTTTTAAGAAAAATCTAAAAAAATACTAATTTCAAAATTTCAAATCCTTCATTTTATAAAGTGTTCTTTATTGGCAAAATAAAATTACAAAATCCATATACCCAAGCATATTCCTCGAATGACAGGAGATTGTTAATTTCCATTTTTTTTAACTAGGGTCCTTCAACCATGGTTATTTAGTTAATTCCTGCTCCCTTTTAATTTACTGACAATAACAACCAATAACCTTACTTTTTTTTTTTAAACAAATGATTTGTTTGGTATGAGGAAAATGGACGGGAGGGAATGGCAGGGAAATTTTTGATGACTTTGATATAAAAAATTGGATAAGTAAACTTAAAAGCTTTTACTTAATTTTTATTACTCTTTTATTTTATATTTTCCTTTTATTAAAAATTTTATGACCCTACTTTTTTAATTTTTCAAATTGAGCTCGTGAAAATTTTTTCTCCTCTTCCTTCCATTTCCCCCGTACTAAACATAGGGTAACTCTAAATTTTCAAGTCATTAAAAATGTTTTCAAACCCGCCTTATTACATTGAAAAGTACCTTCTTGATTTATTGGCTTGACGACTGATTGAACAAATTTAGTCGATAAATAATTTAGAAAGAAAAAACAGAAAGCAACTCTTTTATTTGTAAAATAATAACGACATGCTGCTAGCAAATGATTTGTCCCCAGTAAATGATTTTCCACAAAAGGTGGGTTAGATTATAAGATCAGTGTCATGTGCTTGTGATGTTTGAACTTTAATTGTCATAAAGAGTTAGTTTCACAACTCATGAATAACTTGTGAATGAATCTGCTTAGTAGAACAAAGCTTGTAACTAATGGCCGATGACTCACACGAAAATCTTTTTGCGAGCACAAGCCCCTTCTGCGGACTTTTCCAAATTCATAGATTATTGTACATAATAATTGAGAATGTCGCTGTCATCCAAAAATTTGGTGGCAGAGTTTTGTTCTGCTCATGAATCCCTTACCATTTGCCATAATTTTTGAATACTCGAAGTATGATAATGAAATTCATAACACAACCACACTAACAACAGATTCGTGCTAATAAAGATTGCAATAATATTACAGGCCCAATACAGAATACATAGTCCGATCCCAAAACTAAAAGAAGTAACAAAAGAGGATGATACAATAAAATTTCTTATTCTTCTTGCCTTCTATTAATTTCTACCACACTATATGCCCACTTGCACAGACCATTATATGACGCTCGCTACAGAATCTGATAAGCAAGAGTTGTGTTAGGGCTGTTGCAGATAAACCCCAAAATGCCAACCTCCAGCTGATATGATGGCAATCAGCAACAAAACAATTAAATCTTACAATTGAGATATAACAGAGAAAGAAACAGATGAGTAATGTAAATCTTTTGTTGATAGATAACAACCGTAATTAAGAAAATATTACCTTTTAATTGCAGAGCCACCTGTGCCATCTTGCCACCAGAAGCAATGTTGACACATAGATAGAGTCTGACACCTTCTCTATGAAATTGAAGTAGGCATGCCTCCATGATCGAGTAGCTAACAGTGATCCAAACACTATCCAAAATCCAACAGCAATTCCCACGCCCAAGCTTTCGTAGAATCCTTTCATGAAAGAATCGTCTTCATCAGCATCTTGGTTGGCTTGTGTCGCATTCCCTAATGGATGTTCTTCAGAAGGACAAAGCTTGTCCAATGGCCTCCCACAGAGGTAAGGATTTCCTTCATAGCGGTAGGGCTCAAAAGATTGCAATTGTGTTCCTGTTGGAATTTTTCCTAACAAGTTGTTGTTTGATAAATCCAAAACATTGAGTAAAGATATTTCAGCAAGAGTTGAAGGAATTTCTCCATCAAAGTGATTTCTCGATAGATCCAGAACTTCTAGAGATTTTAGTTGTCCTATCTCTGAAATGATTTTTCCACTCAGCCTATTTGATGATAGATTCAGGAATCTTAACTCAACCAATTTGACAATTCCTGTTGGCATTTCCCCCTCCAATTGATTGTGAGAGAGATCAATGTTCATAAGCCCATAGCGGTCATCGTAAACCAATTCTCTTCCTTTCCACACCATAGGCAACTTCCAATAAAACACTTGAAATGCTTGAAATGTTTCGTTCTCAAAGACATTGACAACATATTTGGAAACATTTATAACATATTTCTGAGTCATTGCAACCAGCTTGTCTAGACAACTTGGTATTAGTCCAGTAAACTTATTAAAAGAGAGATCTAAAACCCTGACCTTCGGTAAATAACATAAATGCAAGGGCAGCTTTCCATCTAATTTATTCATCCGTAGGCTAACAGTTTCCAACTCTTTTAGATTGTCTCTCGTCCACGAAGGTGGTATTGGTCCTGACAAGTTATTTTCTCCCAAATCTAACATTCTCAGTTTAGTTGCATTTTTGAAGGAAGGCAGTCCACCAGTGAAGCAATTATGTTGCAGAACTAACTGCTTAAGTTGACTTAAGGACCCCATAGAGTTAGGAATCCTTCCTGAGAGTTGATTATTGGATAGGTCAAGAATCTGTAATGATTTGAAATGATCCCAACAACCAAGAAGTTCCCCTGATAAGTTGTTGCTTGAGAGATTTAAAGCTGCCAAATTTTCAACAATTGCACTCCTTCCCTTGGCACATGAATGAACAAATTTTGAAATTAGATTTTTTGAAATGTCTAAAAATCGGCTCTTTAGTAGGAATGGTGGAACAGAGCCTCTAATTTGATTGGAAGCCAATGATATGTCATAAACATCAAATTCAATTTGCAGATCGGGAATTACACCTATGAGATTGCTTGATTCTATTTGAAGCCTGCGTGCTCCTTTTACAAGCCTCCAGAACCACTCTGGTATAGAATCATTGATTTCAGCATCATGAATGGATAAAACTTGTAAATTATTTTGGGTGCGAAGCCATCTAGGGAATCCAGGGCCCAACTTACATTGCCATAACCATAACCGCTGTAATTGAAATGGAGGAATCCAATCAGTGCTGAATTTGAGGGTTAAGAAATTGTCAGATAAGTCCAAACTTTCTAACTTGGTGAGATTATCAAAATGGATGTCACTGATTGTTCCATTTAGGTCATTATAGGAAAGGTCAAGAGACACTAAAGAGTTCATGTTTTTTGCAAAATCAATCGGAATGGGACCACCCAAGTGATTATTGTGTAGAGAAAGGTATGTGAGATTGGAGCTTAGATTGAACAACCAAGGGAATAATGATGATGTTAGCTTGTTGTCATCGAGAATAAGAGCTGAGAGAGATGCAGAAAAATTCAAATGGGATGGGGGAGTTGATAGAATATTATTGTCTGTCAGGCTACAGTTTGCAAGCCATAGCTTTCTCAAGTTTGGAAGCTTTCCAAGAATTGACAACAAGTTGTCAGAGTAATTAAGATTGGAAACATAGCTTAAATCAAGTGAAGTTAACAACTGAAGATTGGAAAGCCACTCAATGGCAGCCAAACTCTTGTCATCAATTTTCAAACCATTATTGTAGCCAATCCGGAGTATCTCCAAGCTTGACAGATTACCAAGTCGGCTAGGAATATTGCCCCCTAAATAATTCCCATCTAGACGGAGCTTTTGCAGACTTGAAAGGTTCGCAAGATGGAAAGGTATACTACCAACTAAATAGTTGGAGGAAAGATCTAGAACCAACAAGTTTGAAAGCTTACAAAGTTCAGTTGGTATTTTTTCACCAAAAAAAGAATGAGATAGATCAAGGTATCGCAATCTGGTGAGAGAACCAAAAAATTTTGGGATTTGACTCTTATTGAAATCATTGGAACTGAGATTCAAATAGTTTAAGTTTTGCAAGTCCATCAATGATGGGCTAATCTCACCTCTTAAAGGCCGCCAGGAGTCATAATGACCATAAAGATCGAGCATCTCAACATGGCCAGTGTGAGGATTACAGAGAACACCACTCCAGTGGCAACAATCTGGAGAAGAGCCCCATGAAGACAGACGACCATAATCGTCCACAAAGGCATTCTTCATGTCGAGAAGAGCTCGTCTTTCCTTGTGCAGGCAACTAGCGTTGGTATCTCCCATTCTCCAACATGACCCTATCATGAACAACTCAGCCTGCAAGCGCAGCATCATGAGTATGATGATTGGTTGCGGCAGTTTCACAAGGTTTAGATAACTCACGCTCATCATTATTGCAGCTAGCTCATGCAACGTGAAACTTAAACAAGTACATGAGATGAACAACCCTGGCCTCCTTATTTATAACTCAAGGTCTTCCTGATGATGTGAACAGTAATTGCGTGTCTACACCAGACGGACGCTATAAGTCAAGGTCTCCCACGAATAACACGATTGGAAGGAATTCAAATTGAGTTTTTGCTCTCTTTTAGTGGCTTATCATTTAAAACAGCGTACTATCCTAACATTCAGCCGTTTTCCTTGTCCTTTTTCAAGTCAACTCCTAACAACCACTTGACTCAACCACCTCCTCCTCCTGTTCCTTGTGGTTTCTTTTCCTGTTTTCCAGCTGGATTCTTTGCTTTCACTTGAGCTTCTTTGTTTTTTCCCCCCTTCCCTTTTCGGAAGATTGGTTGCATCGAGGCCCAAGTGATATGTACTATCGTTTTATCCTTATGAATTAAATAAATTAGGCTCTTTTTACCCAAACAAAAAAAACTTCCTCCTCCTCATCATCATCTTCATCATACTACTACTACTATTTTTGTTATGTAAATAATCGTAAAAATGAATAAATTTTCAAGGTTTTAGAACGATTTGAGCTACTGAGCACCATGAAGATGTTTTATTCATTTCACATACCGTTTTTATTATATTAATGAATAAATTGATGGCAAAATTTTAGATAATAATAATTTTAAATATATTTTTAAATAATATTATACTAACAGTATGAAAACGAAAAATTATATTTTAAAAATATTCAGCATTTGATACTACTCCGATCCTAAATATAAGATTCATTTTATAGTATAATTTATACTATAAAATAAATCTTATATTTAGAATTAGAGGAGTGTTATTTTTATACAACGTATGTTGATGATGCCTCTGTCGTTAAAGTACTCAATTAAATTAGGTTCTAATTAATTCGTAGTTTAGGATCGACCTAAGTCATTACTTCTAAGGAGCAAATTATTGGTTTCTTTAGGTAAAAATTTAGATGATGAAAAATGTAATAAAATAGACCTAAACTAAAATGTAAAATTCTAATTCTAAATGAAAGATACAAATGTCCTAAAATCTATATGAAAATTAAATTAAACCAAATGAATGCAATGCAATTTTTTTGGGGGGTTTTTTAGAAGGAAAATAAAATTAATGAATAAAGAAAATTAATCAAAAAGCAAAGAGAATTAGCAAGTAAAATTTCAGAAATTTCTCTTCAGGTACGGTAGAGGGGATAACTTAGGAGTCGTATGAATTTAACCTTCATAACCTTAATTAGTTAATTAAACCAAAGGGAGGTGATAAGAGAGTGGAATTAATAAACTTAGTTACCTACTTGAAATAAAGGGAACCCTCAACTTCAAAAACCCTTAAACTATTAGAGAACTTATAACAGTGTAAGGTTGGTTAATTAAGCTTATTAAAACCAATGAAAATAATTCAAATTAATTTTGAAAATTATGTTTGAAATTATCTCATTAAACAATCAGATAATTAACCAACTTAATTGAACAATTAAGAGGCAGAAGAACCCAAATTTTACAATTCAAACCACATTGATAATTAAACTCATAATGAAAACTCAATTATAAATTCAATTAACAATGCAAAGGTTCTAAACATAAATTCCGATAAGTGTCTCAATACAAACAAAATCCAAATATCAATCCAATCCAAGGATAAAAAAAATAACAATCTAAAACTAAATTGTCTCACAAAAATACAACTCAGAATTATTTAAAACTAAATAATCTCAAGTCCTTGAATTAAACAGATAAATAGAACATCATTCCCTTAGGGTCTTCAAGTGCTAGCCCAAGGTTCAAGTCTCCTCTATGCTCCTCCCAAGTTGCCTTCCTATAAGCTTAACCTTTCATCAAATTGTCTCCTCTTCCAAGATTGTTAGATGCTATAGCCATGAATTGATTGAAGGTGATGTTGAGGAGTTGTGCGTGTAGTGAGAAAAAAATGAATGGATGATGATGAGAGGTGATGATAATTGTTGGGTGGATATGGAATGAAAAAAAAAACCAAAAGGGAAAGGGCGTGAGGCTAGAGGAGTAGCGGTGAAAGGGGAAGATTTGACGTCGGGTTGATGATGGTGTGAATGGAGATGGAAAGAGAGTGATATTTAGGCGTGCCTCCATCCTCCAAAAATAAGGAAAATAGTATAATGGGGGGAAAGAAAATTTTTGTGGATCCAAAGCTCAAGCCTATTAGTAATTAATTGACCCACTTGATATTAGCCATTGGATTGTGCTTAGATTCCAAGAAACAATCTTGCGCAATTGGATTTCCTATGTGCCCCTTTCTTGACCTACAAGAATTTAAGTGTATCCATTAATGTAGATTATATCTAAATATAATAAAAAATTAAATATTAAGTATGCACAAAAATTAGGCAAGAGATTGCAAAACTTTCTAAAAGTAATCCTTCTAAAAATATGAGACTTGTTTCAAAAGAAATAGAAAAAATTAATTCTAAGTCAAAAATAGGAAATCACAAAATATTTATATTTTTAATCCAAAATCTCAATTTTTATGCAAAATCTAAAAACCAACCAATTAATCCAATGATGTATAAAAATCTAATTAAGCTTAAAATTATCATTTAAATTCTAATTTAATGTGGGATAAAATTTATAAAAATTAGACTTTATCATATGTCGAATTCAAGCTTCATTGAAATCAGTGTCAGAATATATTTACATAATTATGCGTAATGATATTAAATAATACTTGTAATTAGTTTGGTTAACATAAAATTCTTTATAAACAGAGTCTGCACATATAAGAATTGACGTATATTTGATGAGCCTGCAGCAAATCCTGCAAGGTTTAGGTCTAATAGAAGGAACTATTCGATGCATGTTTCCAAAACAACAACGGCTATCTCTGTTTTCAATGCACCAGAAAGCAACTGGAAGCAAAATTACTGGATTTGTCTATTAATTGTTGTTAATCTCAATAATTGACCTTTGTTTTGCCGTCCGGAATTCACTAGTTTCTCTGTTTCTGTAAACCAAAATGACAATGAAACGAGTGGCAAGAAAAGAAAGCAAAAGCTTTAAAAAGAAAATGAATATCTGTGCATTCTCCTGAAAAAATTTCAGAGCATGAGTAGCATATTTAAGTCTTGTCTCCATTATATGACCTCAGATCCTACCTTCTTCACGTGTTAGGTGATTAAAATCGTTGGCTTTTAATTGAAAAAGAGAAAAATAGATTGACCGACGTGTAGTTGAAGGGAACGGCCAGAAACAGAGCAGCGGATGAACAGAGGATAGATAAGAAGAAAAAATGAGAAAGAACGACACGTGTCTTTCAGCTGTTGAGATCTATCGCCTATAATTTCTTCCTCGTACTCATTCTGTTCTGCAGAAAGTGACAGATTCATCAGAGGTGAACAATGGCGGAACAAGAGGTAGTGTTATTGGACGAGTGGCTGAGCATGTTGGGGTCGAGAGCCAAAATAGCGTTGGCTGAGAAGGGAATCAAATACGAGTCAAGGGAAGAAGATCTGAGCAACAAGAGCCCTATGCTTCTGCAAATGAACCCACTTCACAAGAAGATCCCAGTTCTTATTCACAAAGGCAAACCCATTGGTGAAGTAAGGATATGGGCAGGGAAGAGAGAAGAACACGAAGAGGCAAAGAAGGAGATAATGGAGTGCTTGAAGCGATTGGAAGAGACGCTTGGAGACAAAACTTTCTTTGGAGGTGAAACCTTTGGGTTTGTCAATTCCACACTTTTTAGTGAACTACTATAAAATATTGTATCACACGCAATATGGTATATTATGGTATCATTAGAAAAAACATATGTACACTTCTGTGCAGAAAAACCATGCATGATGCCTCCAAACGACGAGAAGAGTTATTATGGTGTTGTTGATGGTGATATAAATAACGACGAGAAGGCCATGTGAAACTCGTATTCAGACACCAGCAAAGTAACAAGCCTCTGCCTCAACTGCAAGCTGGCATTCTTAAGATCCCACCTTCCCATTACAGAAACCAGAAGTATTGTTTTTATATCATATTTCATTTAATAATTTTTTTTATTAATATAGCCTCCCAAAAAAAAGTTCTACAAATACTTTATAAAACGGATCTGAATGTGTAATTATAAATTCCTGTATTTGATATCACTTCTTCCCAATGACTCATGATAAAACTATAACTACTTTTTTGCGTTAACAGTAAACATCTGTGATTTTATATCATCTGATTTTTATAAATAACTATTAAGAGTGATGTTATTTAATCGTTATTTAATCTCCTATCTATCGTTTTTTTTTTGAACTGATATTGAGAATGTGGATTATGTTTAGATTTCATTTATTAAAATCACTTATAAATATATAATCACCCTATAAATAATAGCATATTTATTCTAAGAACAAATTGCACTGAGATTCCATAAAAGACAAGATATTGCAAAAATATCCCTAAGAATTTAATAATTGCTTTAGAGTTTTAAAGGGACTTGACTACAATGGTGAAAAAGGTCAAAAGACCTTGTTGCCCCTAATACCAAAAAAGCGTTAAAAAGAAAGAACTTTCAATCTAGGTTGTGATAGTTATAGGTCGTAATAGTTGTCAATATTATTGATTTCTTTATCGATTTATCTGCTGATATAAGTTTAAAAAAATATGATTTCAAATTATATAATAACAAATAATATTAATATATCTTGTGAAATAATACTTTTTGATGATAATGTGGTGTAATATTATTATTAAAAGTCAATTATCACTTATAATTAGAGCTGAAAAAAAGGGCCGACCCTGTCGGGCTAGCCCGTTTAGGCCCAAAAATTACAAGGGCCGTGTTTGAAATTTTTTTCTCTCATATGAAAAACAAGCCCTACAAGGCAACCCCCGTAGGGTTGAGGGTGTAAACGGGCTGGCCTGTTTAGGTCTTTTTATAATTTTTTAATTTTTTTTGTAATTTTTATATTACTAATTTTTTACATTGTTAATGATATTTCAAATATTTAGTTATTATTATCATTTTAAAATAAAATTTCACAGAATGTTTGCTTTATTTAGTTTTAGACAATAATTTGTCTAATTAAATTTTTAAAAAATGGGTCAATTTAGACTTTAATAATGGTTTGAGTTATGTTATATGCGTTGATTTTTTAAACTATATATATTTGATGAGAGTGTTTTTAAACTTATATAACTTGTGATTTATAATTTGAATGAGAAATTTATTAGTTTCAATAACAATGTTTCTCAAACTAAAGTAAAATAATAGCTAGATTGTAAAATTTAAAAGTGAAATTCTTATAAAGAAAAAAAACTTGATATTTTTCTTACGAAACAAAAGTATACTTATAAAAAAGAGTAATTAATTATAGTGATGATGAAGTTTCAAAAGATTAATAATAGTGTTTGTTTATTACGCATTTATACTATAGATGAAACTTTTGGATGTTTTTTTCTTGTTAATGAATGTTTTAGATGTTCTTGGATGTTGATAGATATTTATATATAATGATATTTTGTATTTGTAACTTAATTTTATTCATATTTATACCTTTTATTAATAATTTTATTGGTTTATTTTCATTTTGTTGATAAAAAATGTGAGAAATATGAAAAATATTTTTTTTAATTCAATAAGCTGAAAGCCCGCGGGTCGGCCCTAAGCCCATTAGCTTAAGAGTTGGACCTAGTAAATTGAGATATTTTTAAAATTTCAGTCCTGTAGGCCCAGTCCTCTTAAGCCCGTCAGCCTTGCAGGGCCGATCCGTTTTCCCACCTCTACTTATAATGTGAAGAGTTAATTAACGCAAATTGATTTCATAATTTTATATGAGTGACAATTGACTTTTAATAATAATATTGTATATATTATTATAAAAAAAAGTATATGTCATTTGCAAATAGGTTTTATTTTGGGTCAGAACGTATAGACCACAAAATAGACCCCTTCCAAATTCGGATGTTTGCACAACCAAAAAAGAAGGATATGACTTTAATAAGGTTCAAACAACAAAAATATGGAAATAATAATAAGTTAGCAAGAGGTCACTCCCTACAAATGTAGCGGGAATTCTTATAATATCGAGCATGTTTTAATAAAAAAGGTATTAAATAAATATAATTAGTGTTATTTATATATATGATATAAAATTTGAAACCAAAAAAAATTGCAAAGAGGAAAAGTGAACATAAATATCCAGATAAGATATAAAAATTATAACAACTATGAAATCAAATTTATTACGATACAGTGTAGTTTATAATTTATCAAACTTCTTTTGTAAGATTTTGTGTGCGTTAAGGTAGTAAAACTGATGGATATAATTAATGTGAATTAAAATTTAATAAATAAAAATCCAAAATGTGTTTGCTTCCCTTTGAAGGATGTTGTTGAATGAGAACCCAGTGACTCACTGTCTCAAGAGTACAAGCAGGAAGAAATTTCCTATTCTAGTGGCGAGCGCTATCTAGTGAATTTTCGTCATTTCATGAAGCGCACAATTTTATTGATATATTAATGTCACAACAGATAGTGATCTCGTCCACTCATTCTTCTGTATCTATTGGAATCACTGGCCATATTTGGAAGAGTGATGAAAATCTCCTATAAATATGCTTTACGTAAATCGAGATAAAATTTTTCTTACATACTTGTCTCGTATTCCATAAATTACTGTTGAAAAACAGCTTAGAAGCTACTTATAAGCTGTTCCAGATGAGGCCACTATCAAGTAATTAGATGATGATTCTGAAATACTCCTTTATTTTTAATATTTATAAGTAATTTTTTCTATATGTTTAGCTGGAAAAAAACTTAAATCTTGTTAATTCTGTTTTGAAATTAATAATTTTTTAAATTTATTTTTATTTGATATATAAATTTTTTAAGAAAATAACGATCTGTGGGATAATATTACATTCATGCTAATATTAAATGATATGAGTTAAAAATAGAACTGAATAAAATCTTTTTCGTATTTTATAAATAGAATCAGAGGGTCATGCAAATAACTTTTGGAGTTATTCCTCTCAATTCCATTAGGACAGACACCCATTATGTGCGTGGGGAAGAGTGCATTGTTTGGTCAAAAGTTTATTTGGACTATAAACGTGCACTCATCTTTTAATTAGCTAATAATTAATAATCTGTAATTACTTTTATTGCCGTGGTCATCCCGTTCTGGTCGCGGGGCCACGGATTTGGAATTAATACACAAGATTCCCCAGCGACAAACAAAAGTCATTATTCAAACAATATAAATATAATTAATTCAGTCAAATTATTCCGACATATAATTAATTTCCGCACGTTGCCGACCTAAATCATTAACTGATGGAGCCGGCGAACATTCTCAGCAATTTCTTAATAGAACCATATGATCCAGCGTTTTTTAAACGCGTCATGGTAGCTTTTGTAATTGGAATATAATGGAAAAATCCCGATAGGTTTAGTAATTAAACTTCCTCCTATCTATTCTTGTTAATAATAATTATTAAATTTAAAATATATTTAAATAATAACTAACACTCATAAGAATTATATTAAATTATATTTTTTCTATTTACCTTTGTTGCTTTTTGGTAATTATATAGTCATAATTGATTTTAATAAATAAAATTCAAATATAATCAACGTTTTCAAAATCTAGGAAAAAGCATTCAAACAGTCATCACGGTTAACCGGCATGACTTTTAATCATTGTGACTTATAAAAGTTATGATAATCTAAAATTATAATTGTTCACTGTTAAATCCAACTAGACACTATATTTTACAAACATATTTTTTGGCCAGAAAATTTACAAGATATGAGTAATGATAACAAAAATACACAGCGTCCATGACGTGCTATACTGTTGTCATTGCATTATTTTTACATTGCAAACTACGAAAATGGCAATTCAAACTTCAGTGTTCAGCCGAACCTTTCATTTACTAATTGCTGTCGGGGAAAAGATTCTTTTTGCCTTGCCAATATGTTCTCTTTCTTTTCTTTTAACCCTAAATATATTAGAGGCTGATCGTTCAAATGGATTTATTAGTTAATAATCTTAAATAATTACTACTCGTAGGTCCAGATCTGATCGGTTCTCCCCATCGGCTGACCATAAACATAAACTTTGAAATAATTTACTGCTTGTTCAGATAAATCTGTTTTTTCCCCTCAAAAGCAATTTTAAATAAAAAATTGTATGTTCACAAAAGCAGATCCACCATTAAGTGATATGCATGCATGCTTCACACTGGGGATTGGAATACTGCATGCGTGTAGGACGTGTATAAGTCAAGGTCTTCGGTTAGCATGGTGCACGGCGTGTGTGCGTGTGTGTGAAAAATAACACCAAAACTATGCATCGGTCATGTGCTTGATGTTGACAAGAAGTAGCAACCAATTCTCAGAAACTCAGACTCTGGTGAACCATAATCCAAGTTAATTAGGGTGTTATTGCCAATTAATCTCGATCCTTATTACGAATTTATGGTACTGCAATTTACAAAATATTAGAAGCAATAAAACATTACAAATTTAAAGACTCCATACACTACAAAAAAAAAAAAGAAGCGACGACTTTTGATGACGACAAAAAAAATCGCTGCTAAAACTAAGACTTTCAGTGGCGACAAAAATGTCGCCGCTGAAAGTATAACTTTGAGCAAAAGGTGATATAATCCATGGATTCACTTTCAGCAGCGACATTCTACGGTAACAACTTTTTAGTCGCGACAAATCGTCACCGAAAATTTTCAGCGGTGACTTTTTGTCGCCGCTTAAAGTTAATTTTTTTGTAGTGATAGTTATATATGTAACTAGTTGGGTGCAAATATATTGGAAATCTTAGCATGACTAATCAATCACAATTTATAATAAATGAAAGTACATTGTACCCCAAAAAAAAAAACAAAGAAGTATGTACAAATGATAATTTTCGTTTTCCGATTGTATTTATTAATTTATTAAATTATTCATAATTGTAAACATGGGTATTATTGTATTCAAGTTATTGAAACAAAGTAATATAATTTTAAAACATTAAATTAATCCCAAACAATTATAATTAAAATTTCAAAGTTATCTCTTTATCCGAAGGTCAATTTGTTTTTTTAGCATACAGCGTCTATGACGTGTTATATACACACACACTGACGAACTTTCTATTTATTTGCTGCCTGCATGGAAAAACATTTTTTAACACCTTGTCAAAATGATTCTTTTTTAATTTTTGGCAAGTCGCTTTATGCTTTTGTATATAATTCCGTTATATCTATTAAAGTAAGCATAATTAGATTATTTCGATTGTGCTTGTGTGTTTGTGAGAGTAATAATTTAAAAATAAATTCAATATACATTTTATTAGATTTAATATTTATTTAAAAATGACATAGAAAGTAAGAACAAAGTATTTTATAAGCAAAGAGATCCCATTTTCGGAATTCGCCTGAAAAATGATAAAAAATGAAATAAAATTTGAAGGGTGTGATCGATTTGAGCTATGTGCTGACTGCTGAGCATCATGAATATATTTTATTCATTTCATATGCGTTTTTTGTTAAATTATTGAAAGATAAAAAAAAATAATTTGTTGTTCAATGTATTTTTACAACAGTAATTTACTCTTTGAAATTATTTCTCATAGTCCCACTAATGCGGACGCCCATAAGTGCCTGGTGCGTAGGGCGTAGCGAAGGATGCATTGTTTAGTCAAAAGTTCACTAATTATTCTAAGGAGAATTATAATTAAGTCTCACTAAAAAGAAATAATTATCAAAAAGTTCTAATAATAACTTTAACAGTTTATAATAATAAGTCTTATAATAAGAATGACAACTTCTAGTATTTATTTTTTAATTATTTTTTTTATTTAGGATTTCATTGTAATTGTCCCATTATTTTATGAAGAGTACTCTGCCGGGTCATCCCGCGCTATTGCGCGCATGGCATGAGGCTACGGATTTGGAGTTAAACCTGGAGACTCCAAGCAACCAACAAGAGTTGAAGTCTTCCACTCCGTCAGATTTTACAAATATACTTTCGAAGTCATAAAATAGTGCTCAATGTAAGATTTTCATTGAGTAAATTTTGATTTTAAATACGACATTTATTTATCATATTTATTAATTTTTTAAAATCATCCTTATATTAATAATAATCAAGCAGTAAAGGTGAGAGGATACTAAAGAAGATAATTATGGTACTCCTCCGGTCCTAATTATAAGACCCAATTGACTTATTTGAGGAGATTAAGGAAGTAAGTTAAGTTGGTTATTTATAATAAATAAGTGTTGTCATTCCTAAAATATCCTTGCTAATTAAGTATATTGGCTAAAACTATCATTATTAGAAGGATTATCTTGGAAAAAAATGCATAAATATAAGAGACAAAATGGATTGGGTCTTATAATTAGGACCAAATAAAAAGTCAAATTGGGTCTTATAATAAGGACCGGAGGAGTATTTGAGAAAAAAGATGTCATATTTCTTATAATTAACTAACTTACCTAATTTTTTTTAATTTAATTAAATCAGTTAAATAACTCTTACATTAATGATAGGAAAAGTATCATTTATATCCCTTCTGTTTATGAATTCAAGTCAAATACTCATAATATATCAATTAATAAAATAATACTCCTCCGGTCCCAAATATAAAACTCATTTTGTAATGTATGTAGTGTAAATTACATTACAAAATGCGTCTTATATTTAGGATAGGAGGGAGTATTATTTTTTTATGGCTTACTGATCCGGTATTTGGTATAAGGAAAATTTTATGTTCTTTTACAAACAGCATAAATTCAGTCAAATTAATTAACCATATAATTAATTTCCGCATATTATCTACCCAAAACCATTTATTAACAGAGCATGCATACTTTGGCTTATATGGAAGATCAGTGGGAATGACTTCTAAAATCAAAACATCAGGAATTCTGTAAAAATTGTTTGTGATGCGTCGTTTGTGCATGAAACTAAGGAGGCTACCACGTAATATTAATTAGTTATTATTATTACTACATATTCATTTTTTGGAGCTTCTGCCAGAATAAAATCTTTCTCCGTCCTCTTGCTTTGCTTGCTGTCCCTGTTTTTGATAGATAGTTGAGAGTGCAGCCGTCATAAAAATTTGGTCATAGAGGTTTGTACTACTTGTAGTTCTACTCATGATTCGTCATAGTCTAATATAATTTCTGAATATAGATACTATGATAACAAAATTCATCACAAAGTAAAATTCATACCGATGAAGTTTACAATCAAATTACAGCCCCATTACATAATTCCAAAGCTAAAAGAACTAATAAAAAAGGATCATCACATACAAGTCTGAATGCTATCCTTACCCATTACTACCTTAATCCCAAATAACAAATAATCTCTTATAGTCAATACTCTTTTAATGAGTTTTCTTAAGCTTAACCCAACACTTTTTTTTTTCTTGGTAATACTTAATCCCAACACTTTTTATTATTATTGACGCTTCATACGAAATGAAACCATAGGGTTTTGGTTTGGGTCTAACTAAAGACACCAGACACCAAGCCCAATCTCATTATAAAGAATGGCAGTGCTGGCCCAAGAACATTGGATCCACAGAAAAATGCAACCCCACGTCAATCTCTGCTGAGTCTCTGGTTTTTTTCCTCCCCCCCTGCCCCATATAGTATTCGAAGCAGAGTGTTGGCACTAAATATAAGCACAGAATCAGTTTTAGTACTTATCATCTTGATGAACACTCTATATTTATCATATCTGAACTGTTTATATTTGATTTGAATGGTTTATATTTAAAATTTTTAATTAATTATTTTTAATAGAAAAAAATATTTTTGAAAGAATGATAATCAAGAGATTATCTCTATTTTAGATTCTATACATATTAAAATAATTATTTTGAATAAATAAAAATAAAAAAAGAAATCAAATCCGAACCATTCAAATAAGATATAAACATTCTAGATCTGATAAGTTTAGAGTGCTCATCAAAGTAATGAGTATCGAGCTTTCGTTTGAGTGCCTCCCTTAGTGAGGATTCAAAGATTGGTTCTTGATGTTGTGAGACTCATCCCTTTAGTTTCCCTACGCCTGTTAATTCTTATCCTAACAGAGTCCATCATATAGTCTCTTAAAAACGCCAATGACCTTGTTGCTTATTGATACGCAAGCTTTACAGTAAGTGGGTCCTAAACACCAGGAACAAGATCCAAAAGAAGAAAGTCTATGAGTCAGCTTTGGCCTACCAGAAAGCATCTGAAAGCAAATTACTGGGTTTATCTACTTATTGTTAATCTCAATAATTGACCTTTGTTCCTCGTATGGAATTCACTAGTTTATCTGTTTCTGTTAAATTATAATGAAACATGAGTGGCAAAAAAGACAGCAATAGCTTTAAAAAAAAAAAAAACTGGATGTATGTGCGTTCTCCTAAAAAAAATTTCAGAGCATTAGTGGCATATTTAAGTCTCGTCTCAATTATAGAACTTCAAACCCTACATTGACGTGTTAAGTAATCAAAATCATTGACTTTTAATTGAAAAAAGAGAGATACAGAATGAGCAACGTGGAGTAGAAGGGATCCGTCCGAAACAGAGCAGCCGATGAACAGAGATAAGAAGAAAAAATAGAGAGAACGCCACGTGTCTTTCAGATGTGGGGATCTATTGCCTATAATTTCTTCCTTCGTACTGGTAATGTTCTGCGGAAAGTGCAAGATTCATTAGAGCTGAACAATGGCAGAACAAGAGGTAGTGTTATTGGACGAGTGGCTGAGCATGTTTGGGTCGAGAGCCAGAATAGCGTTGGCTGAGAAGGGAATCAAATACGAGTACAGGGAAGAAGATCTGAGCAACAAGAGCCCTTTGCTTCTGCAAATGAACCCAATTCACAAGAAGATTCCAGTTCTTATTCGCAAAGGCGAACCCATTTGTGAATCCCTCATAATAGTCGAATACATCGATGAAGTTTGGAAAGAAACAGCTCCTTTACTTCCCTCTGATCCTTATCTCAGAGCTCAAGCCAGATTCTGGGCTGATTTTGTGAACAAGAAGGTAATTTCCTCATTTTTCAGCTCTTCAAGATCTGAGTCTCTCTCTCTTTTAATCACGGTAATGAAATGCAGGTGGGAGATGTCGGAGGAAGGATATGGGCAGGGAAGAAAGAAGAACACGAAGAGGCAAAGAAGGAGATAATAGAGAACTTGAAGCAATTGGAAGAGACACTTGGCGACAAAACTTTCTTCGGAGGTGAAACCTTTGGGTTTGTTGACATTGCTCTGGTTCCATTCTCTCCCTGGTTTTACACTTACGAGGCATTATGCAACTTCAAGGTGGAAACACATTGTCCCAAGCTCATTTCCTGGGCTCATAGATGCATCCAGAGGCAAAGTGTTTCCAAATCCCTTGCTGCTGAGAAGGAGATCTACGATTTTGTTATTGACTTCAGAAAGAAAAGTCAATTGGACTGAAGAAACACATGAAGAATACAAAACTTGTGCCAAGAATAAACAGAAATAACAAGTGTCTCATACAAACAGTGTTTTAAAGTTTGAGTTTCGCGTGGTGGATCCTTTCGTGTGTCAGAAGGTGAAATCAACTTGGTTGTGTCTGGTGATTACGCAATAAAATAAGTTGTTTGTAACAACATGTTCTTGATGTTATTGTACAATGAAAAATCTTGGTTGTGTCTTCAACATTTGTTAACGTGTGGTTCCTCAATTGTGCGAAAAGTCAAACCATGGACTCACCCAAACCCACTGCATTCTCCATGAAATGTGTGTTGCTGATAATTTATAGTAGAAATTAATCAAATAAGCATATAAATTAATGGAAGACACACAATAACCAGTTCATACATCAAATAATTCAAAACCCCAATAAAAGACTTGTTGATAAATGTAAGAAGTCGAATAGTGCTCCTCTAATGGTATGGAATTTCTAGACTTTGTGATCTAGTATCCACAAGGTTTGTGGCTGAGCACGAAGAAAAGTACGTGTACTCGAATAACGTTTACTGCAAGAGCTACGTTGAAGAAGCAACAAGCGAGACAAGGATGGGATGGTCCCGGAATTCCGCTTCCCACAAAGAAACGATAAGAAAACATAAACTTGTGGCCTATGTTTAACTACCGACACGCAAGACTGGACTGACGGGTTGCGGATCATCCATTCTTCTTTTATATATTTTCCATTCTCTGTTCTTGAAATATCCAGTTCTTGTCTGTAACTTTTACTTCACCGTTTCATTTTTTCGTGTTTGATAATGGCAGACGAGGTCGTTTTGCTGGATGCAAAGGTGCATGTTTGGAATGAGGGCTAGGGTTGCATTGGGCGAGAAAGGAGTTGAGTATAAGGAAGAGGATCTGACCAACAAAAGCCCTCTGCCTCTGTTGAAGAGCATGGGCAAGCGAAAAAGAATTGATTTTGGATTTGAAGCAATGGGAGGAGGCTCTTGGAGACAAACCATATTTTGGAGGTGACACATTTGGGTTTGTGGGTGTTGCTTTGATTCCATTCTATGAATGGTTCTAAGTTTACGAGACAATAGGGAACTTCAAAGTGGAAGCAATGTGTCCTAATATCATTGAATGGGCAAAGAGATGCTTGCAGAGAGAAAGTGTTCGAAAATCACTTGCAGATGAGAAGGAAATCTACGAGTTTGTCTTGGGCTACAGGAAGAAGCTCCAGTTGGACTAAGCACCAAACATCTAAATGAGTATTCTGGTTGAGGAAGGTTGGGTTGATGGACAGACACTTTTTGGTCGAAATGGACAGACACTTGAGAGAACAAAGAAACTCGTTTTACTGATGAGTTTTCCATGGTCCATAGCCAAACACGTGTACTTGCTTGAAGTTATTAGCTAGGCACATCTTAGCGTCTTTGTATTGTACGATTGGACTCTGGTATATTTGTGTCTTAGTTATTATTACCCTGGCGAAAATAAAGAAACTGGTTTTACTGATATGAGACTTTCCATGGCTTTTATTAGTAGCTAAATAAGCCTTTGCATGAAGATGCGTGTTTTATGGCTCGTTCTTCAATGAACACAACTTAATAAAAATTATATTATTGTAATTTTGCATTCTTGTCATTTATATGTCTATTATATGAACTGCAGATATTTTTTTGTCTCTTGCTCATCTTATAATCCAAAAATGCGTTTAAAATTTAATTAATTTTCTTAAACTCATCTTATAATTCAATCAAATGTTGATTTGCCCAACCTAATCAAGGTGGACTTGGTCTAAAAATAAACAGGAAAGATCGGAGAAAAGTTCACATTCAAAATTTTATGGGTGGTATGACTTAAATTAGAGTACGGGTATTCTATGTGGACAAAATTTGTAAAATATTGATATTTTCTGTGCATAAATATTTATCAAGTTTTTCTTGCCAATAAAATTTCTAACAGAGGAGCTTTCCCCAATTTTCCCAAATAAATGCGGCCATAAAGCTTTAGGAAAACTAAAGAATAATATGAAAAATTACGCGAGTTATATTGTTCCTTCCTTTTCGCAAATTTCAGAACAAAATCATCTTTCTTTTGACGCAGATGAATGCCAATTCCACACTTTTTAATGAGCTGCTATAAAATTTTGTATCAGAAGTTATGGATGACTATATCGTATATTATGACATCATTTGAAAAATCATAGATATATATATTTCAGTCCTATTTATAAGATCCTATTTGTAGACTATAAACAAAGTTTTATAATTAAGACCGAGACAGTATATTTCTGTGCAGAAAAATCATACACGATTGCCTCCAAACGACGAATTATAGTGTAATTGATTATACAAATAACGACGAGAAGGCCATGTGAAGCTCGTTTTCATTCCCCAGCGAAGTAACGAGCCTGTGCTTCAACCGCAAGCTGGCATTCTTAAAATTCCACCTTCTTATTAAGGAAACCAGATGCATTATTTTTATTACATATTTCATTCAATAATTATTTATTGATAAAGATAAGTTGATAAACTCTTGTGAGTTTATGATACGACTTCACCCTCCGAGTTTACGTCCTTCCTATGAGTTCTTGTGAGTTTCACAATCTTATTCTGGACACTTCTTACGTATTCAGTCTTTAATATAAGATGTAATTAACTAATTTGAGTATATCAACAATGTTAGTTAAATTAGCTAATATGACACATTTTTTTAAAAATATTCTAAGCATCTTTCTTAATTATCTCCTTCTCTTGTCGAGGAAATATTAATATGATTAATTTAAAAAAATTAATAAATATATGAAATATATATTTTATATAGAACTAATATTAATTTTTAATTAGATCTATATTAAGAATAGGTGGAGTATTGTATACATACATGATTTTTTTCTTTTTTGGGGTGGGGGGGGGGGGGTTGTTGGGGCAACCAAATTATTCTATTCCGCAGCCGATGCCGTGCTGATGCGGTTAAGGCTGCGAACCACATCCTCAAGGGTCCCTCTCTCCATCCGCCTCAAACTCATACTTCACTCTCGCCACTTTCCGTATTCAATGCTCCCTTTTTTGTCTCAATTGCCAGGAACCCTAATTTCATTTTTCCTTCACACGGTTCAATGCACAGATTAAGACTTTCTCGCCGCCAAAACACACCATGCCACAATGATGCGAACGGCATCACGTATCTTCTGTAGTACTCCCTCCGTTCCTTATTATAAGAGACAAATAACCGAAGTACGTTGATCAAAAAAACAGTTAAAATTAGTTAAGAACAATTAATGTGTAAAAAGTATAATTTTTTTCCAAAAATGCCCTCATTAATAAAGAAAGAGAGCATGAGAGAGAACAATTAAATTATTAAAAGAAAGAGAAGTGGGGGGAGAGAGAGTGTGAGTTGGAGATAATAAATATGGGTAAAATAGTAAATCAACACAAAAAAGTAGAGACAACTTGTAAGTGTCTCTTATATATAGGAACATGTCATAAGCATCAAATGTCTCTTATAATAAGGAACGGAGGGAGTATCACACAAGGCATAGTTTGAAGAGAAAAGAATGAAACTAAGAATATTCAGCTTCCTTGATCTCTCTTGAGAATTCTGAAATATTCAGCTTCGTTGATCTCTCTTGAGAATTCTGAATCTTTTCAATCTGGTGTGATACAAAAAAGGCATGCAATGCAAGGACATTGTACTTTTTGGCTGATGGCAAAGGACACTTCTTTATAGATGGCTAGATTCAGCCCCACGTGACCGACCACTGAAAGCCGCTTGCTTCAGAAAACTCAGCAACGTTGCGCCACAATTTCACCAATCCTCATCCCTATAAATCAACCATTCTCATACCTCTCTTCTTGCATTCTTCTATCTTTCTTTCTTTCTTTTATAGTAGCTTCCTTGGGAAAGCAGAGATTGCTCTGCTTTTTTCTCCCTACCAAAATGGGCAAGTTCAAGTCTGAGAGCGTGGTGGTGACGGAGGTTGCTCCTCCTCGGTTTATCTCTGTCACGCGTCGCAGGATGAAGAAAATACTGGACACCATTGTTGAGGAAGACAAGGATTTTGGTAGTCACTTGTGTTTCTGTTCCTCCACTTGCGGTGGTTCTTCCTCTGTATTTTGTGAGGGACCAGTTTTGTCCCGCACCTTCTAGATTTTCTTCTGTGTCCAGTGTTTTTGTGGTGCTGTGAGAAGAATAAAGGAGGCATGGTTTTGCTGATTCGTTACTCGTCGGATTGATTCAAATAAAATAATAGACAGGAGACTGACATCACTTAGGTTTTGACTTTTGTGTTGTTTTTCTCATTTGTCTAACATTCTTTCATTGATATTTTCATGTTATGTGTGAGATTACTCTGTATCGGAGTTCCATGGGTGTTTGACTCTTCTTGAGGTTTTTCCCCCTTCATTTAGCAGAAGCAGATGATGTGAATCCCGTTTCACATGTACTGTTTAAGAATGAGCAAATAATGTAATAAATTCCATTTTTCTCTGCAGAATCTTCCACCGTCATTCTTTCAATACTTCAACAACATAGTTACACTAATTACGCCATGCTAAAACAAAAGTATTCATCTACGCAAGAATATCCACTTAAACATCACAGTGCTTTTATTGTCCATCACTATAGATCCTACTATTTTTACAGAACAAAATGAGACTCAGACATGCTTCAGAAGATAGAAAGAAACACGAACAGGATCCACAGAAATATGGAGACCATAATCGGATTGTTGCAACACTAGAATAATCCGACGAACTCGTAACATTTACAAGTACATGAGATTTCAGTGTTGCTGCTGAAGCTGAGGTTGAAGTTTCTTCTTGAGGTCTAAGAGGAAGTCATAAACTTTGTACTGGTCAGGCACAGATTTGGCCACACTCTCCCTCTGCATGCACCTCTTAGCCCAACCCACCAGATGGGGAAACTCGTCGGTGATGCTGAAGTTCCCGGTGGTTTCAAGTGTGAAGAACCAGCTGTAAAATGGAATCAGAGCCACGTCCACCAAACCAAACGTATCGCCACCAAAGAAAGTCTTGTCCCCTAATTCTGCTTCCAACAGCTTGAAGCACTCTCTCAGTTCATTCTTCGCTCTTTCTTGTAATTCCCCTGTAGTTGCCCACACCAATCTCCCAGTCGAATATATCTGCAATTTCAACAATTCACAACCACAAATGAATTCAACTGTTCAATCTGGATTTTATTTTTATTTTAAGATGATGATTATACGAACCTTCTTGTCGATATAGTCGGCCC